TCTTCTCCCCTCCTCTGGTCCTCGCTCACACGGGTCTGTCTCTGACACGCGGGTTCCTCCGGGCACCCATATCCCCCACTGGGATCCCCGGTCCTCAGCTCACACCTCCGTCTCGTCCACATTCTCTCCCTGGGCCACTGGCCCCATCTCAGCATCTCTCCGGCCCATCCATCTCCCACCCGTCCTTGTCGCTCCTCCCACCCTGTCTGTCCCCTGGCTTATCCCTTGCTTATTCCCCTGGATCTCCCCCTCCCACCCCGTCCTCGACCCCAGTTGCTGCCCTTTCTCACCTTCCGCCCGGCCTCTGGAGGCGCCCCTCCCCGGCCTCTCCCGCCCTGCTGGGGACACAGGCTCCGCGGCCCCCCGCCACCTCCCTCCAGTCTCCGCGGCTGCCCCTCTGTCCCCCACACCCTTCTCCCCCAGGGGTCTCCTATTCCTTCTGTCTGTCCTCACTCCTCTACCTTTTCATTGGTTTACTCCCCACTCTTTCCTCCAACCCCGACCTTCACCACCTCCGTCCTGCGGGCACTGTCCTTCCCGCCACACGTCCCGTCCCCTCCTTTCCTGCGCAGCTATAACCCTCCATCTCCCCACAGCTCCCCTGGCCTCCGTCTTCCCTGAGCAATGCCCCATTCTCCTGTCTCTGTCCCTCAGCCTGTCCCTGAGCCTGTCCCTCAGCCTCTGTCCCTCAGCCTGTCCCTCAGCCTGTCCCTGAGCCTCTGTCCCTCAGCCTCTGTCCCTCAGCCTGTCCCTCAGCCTGTCCCTGAGCCTGTCCCTCAGCCTCTGTCCCTCAGCCTGTCCCTCAGCCTGTCCCTCAGCCTCTGTCCCTCAGCCTGTCCCTCAGCCTGTCCCTCAGCCTCTGTCCCTCAGCCTGTCCCTCAGCCTGTCCCTCAGCCTCTGTCCCTCAGCCTGTCCCTCAGCCTCTGTCCCTCAGCCTGTCCCTCAGCCTGTCCCTCAGCCTCTGTCCCTCAGCCTGTCCCTCAGCCTGTCCCTCAGCCTCTGTCCCTCAGCCTGTCCCTCAGCCTGTCCCTCAGCCTCTGTCCCTCAGCCTGTCCCTCAGCCTGTCCCTCAGCCTCTGTCCCTCAGCCTGTCCCTCAGCCTGTCCCTCAGCCTCTGTCCCTCAGCCTGTCCCTCAGCCTGTCCCTCAGCCTCTGTCCCTCAGCCTGTCCCTCAGCCTGTCCCTCAGCCTCTGTCCCTCAGCCTGTCCCTCAGCCTGTCCCTCAGCCTCTGTCCCTCAGCCTGTCCCTCAGCCTGTCCCTCAGCCTCTGTCCCTCAGCCTGTCCCTCAGCCTCTGTCCCTCAGCCTGTCCCTGAGCCTCTGTCCCTCAGCCTGTCCCTCAGCCTGTCCCTCAGCCTCTTTTCCTCCCACACCTGGTGTCGCAGCTGCTCCCGCTCCCGAGTTGTTCACCCCGGTGCCAGCCCCGCCCTGTCCCTGTCCTGTCTTCCTGCCCCTGAGGCAGCCGGGAGGCCCCGTCAGAGGCAGATATCAGAAATAGCAGACAGGGCAGGCAGGAGACTCTGCGTGCTGGTGACATCGTATCCTGCCCAGAACCAACAGTCCTGTGATTTATGTTCCACTTTATAAAACTCATTCCATGTCCTGCCAGGTCCCTGGACGAGTGGCTCGCCAGCTGCACATTTTCATCTGTCTGCAGCTCATCATTAACAGGAACAAGGGGACAAGGGGACACCACCCCTGACTTGGAGGAGGGCTCACCTTTCCTACCCCCTTCTTGGTCTTTCTCTACTCTCCCCTCTTTCCGTGTCTCCCTCCCTCCCTGTCTCTCCCTCTTTCCGTCTCTCCCCTGCTCTCCCTCTCTGTCTCTCTTCATCTCTATCTCTGTCTCTCCCTGTCTCTGTCTCCTCTCTGCCTCTATCTCTGTCCATCTCCACTCTCTGCCTGTCTCTCCCCGAACCCCTTCTGCTTCTCCACCCCCTTCCTCCCCTCCCCCTTTATTCACTGGGCTCCTTTCTCTGTCACACCTCTGGCTTTGTACAGTTGTCCCAGTTGTCACTCTTTCCTCTCCGTTGGTCACAAAAATGCCCACGGGGTAGCTGCCAGGCCCTAGACATGTGACTTCAGCAGACAGCCGCCCACCTGTCCCGCTGCACCCTGGCCTCAGGTGGCATCCATACCTGCCTCACTGGTCTCCTCCCTCGGTCTCCCCCTCTCTTTCCATCCCCCCACCCTCTTCTCTCCACCCTGTCCTCAGTCTAGACCTCCCCCTCCCATCCTCTGGGTGTGCTCAGGTCCCCGTGCCGAGTGGGATCTCTCGCCACACTTCTGTCCCTCCCCCGTCCCCTGAACCCATCCCTTCTCTCTCCAGACCTGTCGCCATGCCTGGTCTCGCTGTACATGCCTGTTCTCGCTGTGCGGGCTCAGGCTCTCCCTTCCCTCCCCCGGCAGCCTCGCCTGTGTCCCTTCCCGGCCAGTCCCCACCCGGCTCCCTCAGGGTCCTCTCCCTCCACCACCCCCAGCGCCCCGCTGTCCTCTCTCCAGCCTCCTCTAGGCCTTTCGTCCTGTTTTCTGCCCTCTCCCTCTGCCCCCGCCCTGCCCTCCCCTTTCCTTC